TTCCAGGGTTAGTCGATGTTGCCCATGGTGGTACCTTTCGTAAGGTGTTGCGGCTCTTGATGAAAATTTGTAACCAGGACCATGACATACCCGTCTGGAAGTTCCTTAGACATTAGTTTCTTTTTCTAGAAACAACTGGAGGCTTCCTTTGAGAAGAACTTCGCCGCAGGTAGGTTCACTGGTCCCTACGGGTACGAGAAGGCTTAACGGCAGCGGTAAGTTCACGTGGTTTGCGAGGACCCTGGACAGTGGATGACATCGCGTTGGGTTCCTCCGGTGGTTTTGCAAGTTTCTTAGCGTCAACCGGGTTGCACCAAAATGGATCACTGCGCCGAACTCGTATAGAAAGCCCATTTCGAGGATAATATACCGCGCACAGTCTTGCACAATAAGGAACTTCACGGGGCACGTCTCACTATGGATCTCAACTCGTGCAGTGCACATCCCAGTCGGCGTTGTTAGATGGCCTCCGGTTGTTCGTATTTGCGGGCCATCCCGCGGCGTCGTCACTTTCCGAAGACAGCGTAAAGGACTCCCACTCAAGACGGAGTAGCCTGCAACGGTGTCCACGAGTGCCGCGACATGTCATGGCCGTCCGTGATCACGTTGAGGCTGTCAAGCACCTTTGCAAAAGTGTCGCTCCGATGCATGGCGTCGGGTGAGAGGGAGATCTCCAGCGTTTTCGGTGGTTCTTTACGTCGTCGGTCAACAGCAACACCATTTACAAGGGTTGCCGCGTTTAGTTTTCCTGTCGCGAAAAGGGCGACAGTTTCTCACGACGGTATCGGCGCAGCGGCAAAGCTGGACGTTGCGGTGACGGCGACTGAGACCCGCGGCGAGGTGCAGGTGGGGGAGGCTGAGGTCATCGAAGGTACTCTTCGATCTCTCGCGGTCGTTCACCGTAGCGTGGGCGTAGGTCTTTTGGGTGGAAGCCACGCAGCCCTATTTGACTGTTGGGGCAACGGCGGTAAATATGGTCGGCTTCCCTGCAGCGAAAGCACAACGGGCGAGGATCGGCCGTCCTTCACACCTCATTTTTTCTTGGCGCAGCTTGTTCCGGCCGGACGTGCGCGCGTTCTTCCTGGCGTCGGGAATACTGTGGCGCTAGATGTTCAAGTCGGGCGGCGGCCACTATGCATGGACCATTGCGTTGGTGGTGGCTGTCGGGCCATTGCGGCGTAGCGAAGAGCGGGCTCCTCCGCTGCTGGGACTGTGAGAGGAGCGTCAGACTAGAAGACTCGGTGAACCTCCTCTCGGACGACCTCGGCGGGTGACAGTGAGGACGGGCGATTAGGGGCGGTTTGGATCTTGAGGAGTTTTTCCCGGACGATATGAGAGGAGCGTCAGACTAGAAGGTTCGGTTAACCTCCTCTCGGATGACCTCGGCGGGTGACAGTGAGGACGGGCGATCAGGGGCGGGTTGGATCTTGTGGAGTTTTTCCCGGACGATATGGCAGCCGATTTCCCAAAGCCTCTTGACACCGGCGGTGGTCAGGTCCAGTCGGGAAGATGCGATGGTTAGAGTATCTGGCGCGCCTGGGAGTCGGTGATAATGGCTTGCACGAACCGTCAGTGCTCGCTCGATATTGATGACTTTACTTGCAAAACCATTGACAATCGCCGAGGTGATTGCGTACTAGAATTCCGAAAATTTCGCTCTTCACGCCTCGCGTGAAAGCTGCGAAGTTTTTTTTTTTTTTTTCTTCTCGTTAACATCCGGATCGGCTCGGGCCCTCAGGCGCAAAACAGTTTCAACAAAGGTGCTGACGCTTTCGTTGGGGCTTTGCACCGTTTTTTTTGAAGAAGATCCTCCGCTCGCTGCCGACGGTGGTGGTTAATGAACGTCCGATTCAATTCGGCGGCGCAGGACTCCCATGCAGTGAAGGAGTCTGTATTGAACCATGGTTAAAAGCGCTAAAGAAAGACGTACACAAGATAGAAGAAAAACACGGGCGCTACTCACAACTGTATTGAGAAAGGAAGATGGAAGTACTTCTCTTCTATCTTGTGTACGTCTTTTTTAGCGCTTTTAACCATGGTTCAATACAGTCAACACCAACTAGCTCAACAACAAGTTCTTTTACAGTGAAGGAGGCTTCGTGGTTTACAAACCAGTGCGTTTCAGTGCCTTCAAGCAAAAAGTCGAGGTTCCGGAGGCACTGCTCAGTCGTCAATTATTGTGGCGGGCTACACGTTCATAGTGTTGCCGCCCATCCTCTATGTCCCCGTGGCCATCCCGGTGGAAAGGTGTCTGAGTCCAGGGTGCGACGGGTAGATATACGACGGTGGCGGAGGCAGGGGTCTGCGACGACTGGTTGTCCATCGTCGGCCTCATTGGCTGCTTGGTCTTCGGTGGCAAAAGGTCGAATTCCGGGGTAGGCCTTGAGCAGGGTGTAAGATAGACAGGTGGCGAAACGAGAGCCAAATGAGCGACCGGATTGTGTCCCCCTCGGGTTTCTCTTTTTCTGTGGCGCCAACTATGTGGAGCGCCGCGAACTCTCACTCCGGGTGGGCGACCGGTGGCGACCGGCTAAACTGACGGAGATGGTTTCTCGTGGATTTTCAATGAAGAACTGTAGTGTTCTCGGTTTATTTTGCGCACTCTCCCATAAAATTCCATGCAAATCCGATTCCGATTTTTTTCTTCTCGCCGCAGCGCCATCTGTCGCAAATCGGGGGTACCCGCAAGCAGACGAGTACACAATCCGGTCACGGCGCTGCGGTAGGCTTCTATGGGCCGTTTCCCCACCTGTCTATCTTACACCCTGGCCTTGAGTATGGCGACTTGATCGGGTCTCGGTTTTCTCTTCGTTGGGTCTTCATGATCTTGGGGTCGAAGTTGCACTGTGGGCCTTCGGAAGGGTACGCTGCACGAACATGCGTTACACCGCACCTCCACCAAAATGTCACAAGTGATAATGATGAGGCGGCAGATAATTTGAGAAATTAAATACTTTTTGGGGACGAACTTGTGCCCCTAACAAAAATAGAAAATTAACGTCGCAGTCGTCGATGTCGGCGGAACAGCAGGATCGAGCGCTGGGGCGAGACTGACTTCGGCTCGCCACGCCGAATTCCTTGTACACGCATGGGCTTCTGGAACAATCGGCGTAGAAGGTTCGGTGCGTAGAACGCTCGGACATTGAATAAGCAACAGGGTTCTCGAATTCACCAGAACGCGACATTTACAGAAATAACAAATGGTGCGTCCGCTCCTAGGCATCAAACCTCGTCCCTTCGCGTGGGGGCCAAGCACGATAATCATTCGGCTTCGGGCGCGCTTGCTCGGAGACGCGCGTGGCAATGTGAACAAAATGTGTGTATGTGTGTGTGTTTTCCTTTAAGTTAGCGCACAACATAAAAACGCGCCTGTAAAATTATGGAAACCTAAGCTAGTGAAAGCCAATATCATTACGCAGGGTATTATTCATTTATTTGGTTTAGACCGCAATAAAACTAAGGGGCTATATATGTTCAAAAATACCTGAAAATCACAAATTGACCAGATAAATAAGAGTGTCTTCAGGTCAGTACAAACATTTAAAACAATACGTTTTATTTTCATTGCAAGGAATTGAGTAGCTTTTCTTGGCATAACGACCGCAGCTTTTTGGAAGACAATAACAAATATTTGGTTTGTGCGGGTCTTCCTTCGAACGTAGTGTAAACGACCAACTTAGGTGTGACATGATATCCTGGACTATAAGGTTTCTTAACAAAGTATTTTAAAACTTTACTTAGAGGCTATGTGATGAAATATCTCTTTCATTAACTCTTATTTGAGTAGTAAATATATCACAGTAATTCAATTACGCTATACTAATATCTAATTGTAATTTATTGCTTTTGGTAAATATAATTTGTAGTTGCAAATAGTCTACTTTTAGCCTAGTCACTGCAAATTTTGAATAACAATTACCATAGCTTGTTTTGTGATTTGGTCACGCTGGAGGATTCTTCTCTAGACTTACCGGCAGGCAAAAATGTACTGTCTGTCTTATTGCCCTTCTGCAAAATTAAGTTACTTCGAACGTGTCAATACTGCTCTAGGGCGCCGACTTTGGACGGACGTTTGAGCAAACTTTCAAAGCCTCTGCACTTGAAAGGAGTACAAAAGATGCCCCAGATAAAGCAGGAGGGGTTTCCACTGTGAGGAGTTAAAGAAAGAACCATAATATTTTGATTACGATGGGCACAATGCATCTTGTCAATCCTCTCGGTCATTTTAGCATAATCAAAAATTTAAGCCTCCCATAAGTTATTTTAGTAGCTATATGCTCACCTGATATATTACTTTTACTTTGAACGTCATGATAAAAATAACGCTGACAATTGCTGGTGGCGCTGCAGCGGTCGCACAATATTCAAATAATTCATTTGTATTGTACCGAGAACTCGGATCCCATATTATAATAAAAACAAATTGGTGCAATAAAACAATATAGTGTGACAAATGCAAAATGTTTTGTGAAAATTTTTTAGAAAAAAATATAGAAGTGCCTTTCAGCGCGAAAATGCTATAATATTAACCTCATTGAATACGGCTAGCTGTTCAATACTTAGATGTAAAATAATTGTGCCAATGGAGTGAGTTGAGCCAGTTGGTATTGAGACGACATGATGAAAAACAACGCACATTCATGTCAATATTCATGGGGTGAATCGTGAATGTATTGCAATTCGCCCTCTTATTCTTTTAGTATGAACGCAGTTTTCCTCTTCCGCTCATAAATACCAGTGGCGAGTCCGCGCTTGTGTGTTCTAGGTGTTTCTTCGCCTGTGGTCCTCTTTTGCGCGCTATTTTTCATCATGCCGGAGTAATTGTATCAATTTCTTACAAAAAATTACATTTGTAAGTAAATTACATTTTGTGTTTGTGGGCTAGTAATTATATTATAGTAAGTGACTACCTTAATGGCGACGTAGTCATAATTGTATTTAAATTATCGTTTTAAAAATAACTTACCAAAGCATGCATTGACTTAAACGCCATATTTCAGGTTATCACGGAGACCACACTCTCTGTAAGGAAAGCTTAGCAATATTGCTAGCTTACGCTTCAGATCAATCGGGATACGCATCTTACACACTGCTCAGTCTTATCCTGAACAGGTGAGAATCATTCATAATAATAATTTTAAATTGCCTTTCTAGCTTGTATGATGATATTGAGATTTGAATGACAGTTTGAATAAATTTTGAACATTGCACTTGATGACCTATTTGTATTTTTTTTTGCTATAAACAAATCCCCAATTAACAAATGCCTAATAAACAAATACAAGATGCTGTCTCAAGGGTTGAGGCAATATCACGTGGTTAAACTCTTGGGCATAGCGTCTCCTTTCCTGCTTCACGTTACAAAACCTCATAAAGGCGGCCAAATATTTTAATCGGACGTAATATTTTTATTAGGAGCAACACAATGCTTTATGGTGTCTGTACAAACCGATATCATGTCATATACGCTGTCTCACACCTGATAAACATAAGTTCATAGATTAATTCATTGTCCCTAATTTCAATCTACTTATGTGTGTATTATCGGAGAGTTATACGAGTATCTAACCTTTTTTTTTTTTGTGAATATAATTATTCAAACTAGTCCCGTTACCCGTATACAACTCAGGGTAGCGGATTTTATGACTCATACTTTGCAGAATTTAAGTTTTCTTTCACTATTGCAATTTACCCTATGTACATCATTTTAAGACCTTCGCTGTATATTAGAACATAAAATAAAATAATAAATAAATGCACGTTTCTTATCTCGCGTTAGTTTTATGTAAGTTATACCGCACATTAAATTACAAATAGCGAAATAGACAGGCACAAAAACAGAAAACAAGCGCCATTTATTTGCTCACTCTTTTTTATGTCCTCCCTGGTTTTTGCGCTGTGCGTTGCGTAATTTGCTTAACCCATTAGCCAAAATTATTAAAGGTGCTACTTCTACCGACTGTTTCAATCCTTATCACCAGCAAACTTTTTGAACAAATGTAGAGCAAAATTATTTTCATTCAGATATTAAAAATGTCTGAATAATAGCAGTGGTAGTAATAATAGTGCTGCGGCGCCGCAGAAAGGCAAGTAGCCCCTACTTTGGACGCCTGTGGCGCCGCATCTAACCATAAAGTGATGAGCAAGTGCACAGGTGATAGCAGTCTTGGGTAGTAATGCGTTACTAGTAACGCGTTACTGTAGTTTCGTTACTTTTTTTGGTAACTTGTAACTGTAACCAGTTAATTTTTAAAAATGTAACTTGTAACTGTAGTTCTATTACTTTTTCTCAGGTAACGATAAAAGTAACGACGTTACTTTTGTCGTTACTTTCCGTATTTTTTTATGAATAATATATCATTGAACGAGTAAAATCTAGCCAGTCCTAGCATTTTCCAAATTGTCTGTGCCAACCTTTCGAGATTTTCCAAATTGTCTGTGCCAACCTTTCGAGTGTCAAGTTGGCCTTGCAAAAACTTGTAATTACGTTATTTCTCGCGAGTCACGACCCAGAATATAGTCACGTGTAGATGTTATGAAAAAAAATCTAGTTTTTTTTTTTATAATAATAATAGTCTTTTATTTCTTTGAAAAACCTATTCCAACACGTAGCCTAGTTTGTTTTAATAAATTCTTAGAGTCGCATTCATAGGGCATTTTTACTATTTGTGTCATCTGACTTAGATCCATTGAGCCTATACTATAGAAAACGATTCGATTACTCAAACCTCTAACCAGGACGACAAAATATGAATTCTGAAGACTAAAATTTGTGCAGAAAAGGCGTTTTAACGTTGATCGATTGCTTATTTGTAGTGTGCGTGAATTTCTTGTGTTTGTTTTTCACTGTTTAACGGATTGCGACGAAAAGACTATAGGTTCACTGTCGCCAGCATTAGAGGACAGGGAGTGCCTACGCTTTAGCAACCAGAAGGCGCGAACGAATTGGTAACGAGACAATGCTATTCATAACTGGTATCGCCAGTTATGAATTATGTGATTTATTTGTACAGTGCACGGTAGATATGAAAAAGCTTAGGCGAGCGCGTGGCTCCCAAGACCACCAGCGTTATCCAACCGTAGAAATTTGAGCTATCATCGAGGCTATAGACCACTTTCGAAAGACTGCCCCCTGTTGGCAGCGGTAAAATCCCTGTACAATGTCGCACTGAACCAGCGACGTCACGGCACACTTTGTGCGTTGGATTGGATTATAAGGCAAAAACACACCCACGGAGAAATGTGACGAGCGCAGTGACGTTGCACTTTCAACACTGTTTGACTTGCTCGTCGAATCCCTAGCGTTGGCCGCGCTCTGACGTTCACAATCTCATGGAATGACTTGACTTGCAGTTGTTCCGCCATTTTGCAGTGGTTCCGACTTTCTAATAATCGGCACGTGACTTTCGAAACGGGTATATTGTGTGGAAGAGTGGAATTCCAGCGGCTGTTTGACTTTTGGCGTTATTCCCCACTTGGTCGGCAATCGATTGCTGAGTCAACATCAATAGTTGTAATGCTCGGTGAAATAAATTAAAAACCGTTTTATTGTCATTTATCTTGGGATTTAATTATCAAACGGCCAAAAATGTATCACTCAACCTGCCGACCGTGTCGATTCAACCATGCTTCATTTGACCATTCGTTGCGGATCGCCTCTATGTTCGGCGAAACTAGCATGAGCTCACAAATGACTGGTCAAGCTGGGAGTGTTTTTACAGAAAGTGAACAGCCACTGAAGCCTCCATAATGACCGAGCTTTCTTCTAGTACACAGCGCGGCAGGCTTTTTAAGCCACGTGCTCGCTTGGGCTTTGCCATATCGCCCGCGATTGTGCACCTGCTCTCTCTTTTTTTTATTATTTCGTTTTACCACTGTTCATACACTTCTCCGAAGCAGATCTTGCAAAATGTTGGAGACTCGCCCTCTTCAAAGATCGACAAAATTTCACAAAGGTGCAATTCGTGTCGTCGACGACAGACGCGCGTGTTTCACTCACGCACTTTGGTGGCTGCCGTAGTTTCTTGCGACAAATCCTAAGCCACGACTTTTAAGTCAATTGTAAAAAAGTTATGTGCTATACATTCTTACTTCTTATTCAGTTTTATAAGAAATGTAGTGTTTTCTTTGTATAATACAGATATGCACTGTTCATATTTCAGCATAAGCTCAGGTTTAGGTGACAATGTGTATAACATTCCATCAGATAGGCATGACGAAGTGAAGGAACAGTTAAGGTACGTAAATCATCATCACTAAAATTAAAACGATTGATATATTAACGGTTTTCATCATCTACCACGTGCAACGTAGCTAATACACTGACATGACATTTTTGTTACGTGTGGCATGTTCATGAAGCTCAACCTATATTACGCCATATTATGTCATTTCTGGATATACATGGTGTCACAAAAAAAATACAGATATTTTTTTTTACCGCAAAAATAAACTAGGCACCGCCGAACGCTCATTCTCCACCCAAAGGTAGCGCTAGAGGTCACAACCAGATGCCAAAGTTTCAGCCCGATCCGATACCTTATTCAAAAGTTATAAGTGATTGTCTGAACAGTTCAATGGGAAAATGGAGCCCATTTTCGCCCGTTTTCGATTTTTGGCGTCCATAGAGCCCCATGTATTCAAAAACTCCGTCAGCCGCCATTTTCCCATTTAACTTTTCAGAAAATCACTTATAACTTCTGAATAAGGTGTCGGATCGGGCTGCAACTTTGGCTGGTTGTGACCTCTAGCGCTACCTTTTTGATGGAGAATGAGCGTTCGGCGATGCCTAGTTTATTTTTCGGTAAAAAAAAAAAAAAAACCTGTGAATTTTCTTTTGTGGCACCCTGTACTATTCTAAATCCGATGATAGTGGTGGATTTGTAAGTTATGCATATGATTTCCTTTCGCATCAAACAAGAAAACAACTAAAAATATACCTGTACATATTTAATTTATTTTAACCAAATCGATCAATATTTTAAAGAAGTGTGGCACAATTTTTGGGCATTTGGAGGATAAGGCAGGTGTCCTCTTTTGGGGATCTGGTGCAGCACTTTCTTATCGAATTTTCAACTTACCTTTGAGGTTGCTTTTCATTACACTGCAGCCCTGTTCAAAAAAAAAAAATTAAAAGTTGCAGTAATGACACTACTGTAATGAAATTACTGATTACATTACTTTTTGCTACAATGAGTAATGTAATACATTACTTTTCTCGGCTAGTGATTTAGTAGTGCCACGATTCCATTTAGGCAGTGATTTCAGGAAAATCACTTATCATATTTGAAATTAGTGTTATCCAAATAAAAGTATCGTCAGTTCGTAATCTTTAAAAAAAAATATGAAAATATATTTTCCATGATACATTCTTGTTAAAGAGAGAGAGAGAGAGAGATGAACATTAAAATGTATTGAACAAGGCTTGTCTGGGGGCTGAAATTCACAAGTATTAAAAAAAGCACGAGAAGAGGAACCTGCGGAAATACGCTGCGTACGTCAGTTTGAATACTTGAGAAAAACCGTGACAAAAAAAATTAAATTTATAAAATGCAGGATGCTTCGCACAAAGTTTTTCAAATAGCCGTGAAGCTACGCTAATGCGGTATTTTCGGGTGAGCTATAGGGCCAGGGGAACGTAATAAAGAGGGCGAATCGTCACGATATGTTTTATAATTAACTAAACTTGTAAAAATGAACGTATTTATTTAATAAGATACTTATCGAGCGTGATCGAAATACACTAAATCAGTAAATTTTAAAAAGATTTTGAGCGCGCAAGAAATACGGTGGTGTCCTAAACTTGTCATTGGTGACACAGGCCCACCGCTGGCGCTGCGAAAACGTGAACAATAGTCGCGGTGGTATTATCACCCGCGTTTTCGCAACGCTAGGGCGTGACGAAGGGTGTCTTCTCTCGGTCGCGTTCGTCGACTTCAATCTGCCAGTAGCCGCTCTTCAGGTACACCGATGAAAAGTATTGACATTTTTGAAAAGCCGGAGACAACGGACGAAAAAAGGAACAACACATAAACGACTGTGCTAATAAAGATTAATAGCTGCGTTTGAGACGTTTTGTATGTTGTTCCCTTTTTCGTCCGTCGTCTCCGGTTTTTTTTTTTTTTTTTTTTTTTCAAAAATGTGTAACATCAACGAGCTCGCCTGCCTACTCTATCTTCAAAAGTATCTAGAGTGGCGCAGTTAGTCTAGCGTGTCGTCGATGCGAGAGAGTGGATCCACGTCTTTCGTTGTCACTGCAGCTAGCTGCTGGTAGTCCACGCAGAACCTAAGCGTTCCATCCTTCTTTTTAACCAGTACGACTGGAAAGGCCCACACACTGCTTGAAGGCTGGATTGTATCGTCGTTCAGCATCCTTTGAACTTGCTCCTGGATTACCTAACTTTCTCTTACGGAAACTTTGTACAGCGATGGATGCACAGGGAGCGTGTCGCCCTCCGTAACTGTGCGGTGCTTCGCAACGGTGGTTTGGCGCACCTTCGACTACGTCGCAAAGCAGTCTCTGTATTTTGCGAGGAGGTTAATCAGCTGCGGTTGTTTTGGGGCCTGGAAGCTAGGGGTCGATATCGAGCTGCGCTGGTGACGTACTGTCTTGCTGAAGTGTCGGGGACTCTTCAGTAATCGCGGCGATTTCGGCGGAGTTATGGAATTCCTTCACGTGGCTGACAGAGGCACCATTCATGACGTGGTGCGTTTCTTCTCGAAAGTTCGTCACGAGGACCATGGTATAAGCCCATCCTGAAGTTCAGCTACTCCTCTTGCGACGTCTCCTCGGGAGCAATTGAATGTTGCCTTAGAGAAAACCTTCGCCGCAGGTAGCTGCATCGGTTACGACGGGTACAACAACACGTGATTGCGACGGCAGGTTTACGGGCTCGGCAGCTACTCGGACTGCGACTGACGTTGTTTGGGGTTTCTTTGGAGGCCGAAAAGGTGTCCGCAAAGTCTATCTGTTCCCTCCAATGTCGATGACGGCGCCGTATTCACACGGAAAGTACATGCCCATAAGGATGTCTATGGAACAGTCTTGTAGAACAACGAACTTCACAGGGCACGTCTCGCCGTCAATTTCGACGCGAGCACTGCAGCTTCCGACAGGCATGATGAGGTGTCCTCAAGCGGTTCGTATCTGCGACCCATCCCACGGCGTCATCACTTTTCGAAGGTGGCGAGAAAGTCTTCCACTTTTCCTAAATGTTTCCACTTTTCCAACGTGGAAACTTCTCTTTCTCATGGGTCATTGCCATGCGGGTCTGCCCTTTCACTCTAGGACAGGGGCATTGCAAATTTTTAACATCCACCGGAGCATTCACAAAACAGACACAGTTACCAACCTGTCAACGTGAGAATCGTGATTGCAGGCACACTACCTGTCATAAGACCAGTTTGACGGTACGCGTTACATGGTGGAAGGGGGGAGGGGGTGGCGTGTGAACTCATAAGCACGAGGCCGCGACTTCGGGTTCCGAAGTCGGCAGTTTACGTTCGTAAACCCTCCTTCTTTGACTTTTGTATCTGAACACTGCCGCTTTATGGGACACACGTGATCCAAATATCTCTATAATAACTAATTTAGAGGCTCTATGAGGCGCTACAAGTTTCTACTTCGAATCACCTTTTTATTTTCACTAAATAAAAAATGTATTAACACTTTTTAGTTTATCTTTTCACTTGTCATGACGATTCCTCCCTAGATTATGTCCCCCTTGGCGTATAACTCACCTGAACACACCAGATTAGTGTAGCTTTCACTGCTCTTTTAAAACAAATATCTAACGCCCAAGAAAAGCACTGTATATTTATGATTATTTTCCAAAATGACTGTAGCACGAGCTGTACGTTGACTGTTGTGTGACGATACGTGCATAGGTGCAGCAACATCTTTAACCATTCACAATTGGGTAAAGCCAAAAAGGTGACACCTGCAACAGCTTTAGTCGATGTTCTGATGTCTGATGTCAGAATGTAAACAGTATAACCTTTTCTACGTGCTCCTGATCTCATAAATATTACTTAAAAAATTCTAGAAGGTATCAACGTACTTTAAAGGGATACTACAACGAAATTTCGGCGCTTATTTTTTTGTCTATATGTGTTCAAAGGAGCAGTACCACATCGGACACACCAATATCTTGATAATAAAGACACGCAAGGGAATTTTAAAACAAATTGAACAATTAGCAAGGAGCACCTGGTGAATGTTGCTAAAGCCTCGTTTGTAATGCCCGTCTAGGAACCTTGACAGGTACTGATGTTAACTGTCTTGCCTAGAACTATACATGCTTTGAACCGTACGTCAGACCGTCAGCTCTATGCCCAGCACTAGAGAAGAGGCAAGGGAGGAACTCCCCACTCAACGGAGCTCTCTTTTGTGCGTTCTCTCTCTACAAAGTTATAGAAGATTAACCCATCACACAAAATTCACACAAAAACATCTTTGCGGTTAGTTGTGGTGGCCCGAGCGCTGGCGTGCTTCGTCCGCTTCGGTGGCTGGAAGGGCTAGGGCAACCTGACAACGTCAGCCTCGCCGCAGCTTTGCTCATCTCGAGACAAACTACGCCACGATTGCGCCGGATGTCATGTGCTCTCCGCTGGCTGTTCTCCGACCGCTTGCCCGAGTGGGCCGTTTATAACAAAAAGTACAGCCATCAGGCTCAAAATAGAAACGTGCGATTTTCATTTAAGGATATTATGGATCATATTCAGCCTATTTCTGAACACGACAGGAATATTTCAAATTTTGTCGAAGTATCCCTTTAAGTGATCAAAGCAAGCTGAATAGCTGCCTTAGCTCGGTAAAGTCCAAATTATCCGGACACACTGGGAGTGCATTATCTAAACGTTCCGTATCCATGCGTAAATAATTTTATCATCGTTCTTGGGATGTCGTACGTCGTTCAGACAGAATGTTACATATGTCGCGGGTTAATGGCGGGTGGGATATATTGTATATACATAGCTTTTGTGCGCACCAGTACAATTTTTTTATTTAATAAAGAACAAACGATGTCATAAAAAAACGAACAGAACACACTCGCTCAGAGTTTTTTTAACTTTTCTTTTAAAATTTGACTTTTTTTTTTTCAAAAAGCCTGTTATACATTTTGTTAAGACCTATATGTATTGAATATTGTTTCTTATATAATTATATTTAGGAAGTGCAAGAATACTGATGACGACTACCCAAACCCCCCTATTCCACGTGAGTCAACCATTTATTTTTGCACATGATGCTTAATTGATGAGATCATTGTAGTATAGATTTGAACTTAAACATTTGGCCACCGAAATATCTTTATTTCTGTCTATTTGATATAAATTATAATCCACCCTTCAGCATATTTTGGAAGATTTATTTTCGTTTGTTTAAGTATATTTTGTGCTGGAGTAATCATAACCTATCTACCTTCACGACACAAGTCATAGCACTTTCTAATGCACAACGCAAAAAAAACCGTCGCTACACCTTTTCGATATGACCACAGGCCCCATGGAGTCTTAAAACACGAAGTTGGGGCCGAGGTTTGCGGAGCGCACCTATTGGACGCTTGCAGGATGATGCAGAGCTTTTATCACCAAAGCCCAATTGGCGCTGTGCTAACTTTTACTCCAATGCGAAGTTTGACGTTTCTAGAGCTCCAGGGGGGTAACTGACACGTCAGATTGCACCGAGTCAATTTTGACTTGCCATGATCATTATACTAGGTCAAACAATATTGCGATCAGAGACAAGCTAAAGAAAAAAAATAAACCTGTATTTGTTCCTGTGAATGTATCTGTCGTATATGTGTGTTTTTATCTCAATTCAAGCACGGTTTTGAAGTCGAATTTTTAATTTTAACCAAAAAATAATCTTTTGGGAGCATTCTTGAAACACAAAAGAAATGCAAACGACAAATTTGAGGGATTTTTTTTTCAAGTTATTTGCTTAATATATTGTGAACCTATCATAATAAATTTGTATTAAAAAAAGATGATTGAGCTTTCCGGTGATGTCAAGGACATTCTAATATTTTAGCCATATTTCACTTAAAAACTTTCAAAACTTTGCCAAAAATCATGAAAGGGACACGATTTCCTTTTTGTCACCTGTCTGGAATCGCATTATTGACACTCGTTACATCGTTACTTTTCAAGATACTGCACCAGGATTCTTTTGTGACACTCAAAAAATTATTGTGCATAACGAAGTTCAAAAAAAAGTTTTAAGGTGAATTTAGTGTTCAACTGTGTCCCTTTTATGTTTTGGGAAAGTTCGGCAAGTTTCTAAATGCGGCTTACTTAATGTATTTTAATCACCTTGAGATTAACAATAAATTCAAACTTAGCTCAAACTAAAAACTTTTAAGTGCATTTGAATGAACAAAGTTTGCCTTTGCTTTCCCTCTGCAAACTGAAAAACGTTCTTTCGAAAACAAATTATGTTCTTATTATATTCTGGATTCTGACGAGTAAACATTAGTTGTCTCATGTTTTAAGCTATTAGATTTTCGATCCAGTTTCGACCGTGAACACTGCCATATACATCTTGTCAGTAGAAAACAAAAATAGAGTCATAAATTTGCATGTCAACAAATACGAATCTGCGAAGTCTCGCCGGAGCCGAGGCCAGCCCCACAAGTGTGGCAATAGCCAAATAAAATTAAAAGATCCTCTCACGGAAACACAGAAGCACTTCTTCAAAACGGAAGCTCAGAAGCACATCCTCAAAACTTTCTGCATTTCGAAAGCATGATATAGCTCAAAGGAGCGCCTACATGCATGCTAATTACACCAAGGGATTTCGCAAAACATAGTCATTGGCGAATTAAACGACAAGCTTCGGTTTGAAATAAACATTAACAATAGAATGGGCATTGTTCCCACATTCTTCAGGGCTCGAGAAAGGTATTTATCTTAATTTTTTTTGTGATCAGTCGATATGATGCTGTCGATGCGAATTACGAAAGCATCTTTAATAAAGTTTCTTTTTATGTGCGGTGAAGTGACTTTACTCGACATAAAAGATGTGGTACACTTTTGCTTCTGGACGTTTTTTTTCCTGACTGTCCTTTCCTTCCCGGGTCGCTTCTCCGCCTTCCCGCCGGTGACGTATACGGGTATTGAAAGTAAGGATTTTTCATTTTTGCCAGTAGAATGTCGCCTCCAGAACTCTCGTGGCCGGCGTAATTTGAAAAATCAATAACTCACAGAAAAACAAACTATTTTTATAAAAAAAAATATCAGTTGAGAAAGGGCTATTAGTGCAATCTGCGAATTTCCAGCCAAATTGAAGATTGTCGAAAATCGGCGCTTCGGCTCCGGTCCCTTCAAAGGGACCATAAAATTAATTTTGGGCGTGATAAATAAATTTAAATTGGGGTTTTTCTAATCGCATGTCCGATAGTGACCCAAAAGAGAACTGTTACACGAGAGTAGAAAGTTAGAAGCCTGCCTTCTTTCTTTCGAAAGCTCTCCGCTTTTTCATTGTAATGCATCCGCGTTGTCCAAACACGTCAGCCGAACCCAGTTCACGCATTTGACGCGAGCCCTGCGTCACTCGGACGTATACGCTCGTCAACAATCAATGCGTCAACTATTATTTGGATTCGCGTTCGTGCCCAATGAGTGTCACGACGGCACTTATGATCACTTGAGAATGACAAGTTTTATTGTGTGCTTAAAAGCACGGTGGAAGCTTGGGGCCATTGCATCTGGTGCTCAAGCACGTCACGACCACGGGATTTCTCAATCCGATTTCTCAATCCGAAGCAATTCATTTTAGGTCTAAACGCATGTTCCGCCTCATAATTCTCTGAGCTGATTTCCTAGATCGCAGAGATTGGCTCTTTAAGTGTTTCGCGAGTAAAAAGACGCGGAGTCATTCCTTAGAGGGTAAACGCACAGAATGATTGTGATCATTTAACCAGTTCAACGAAGCAGACTTTTTTTTTTTTTTTCGAAGGGGACGGCCGTTTGGCCATCCACTTCGTCAACACGGGAACGGCTCTACGAAGCTTGCCGACGTAATCCAGCTTGGCCTACTCAACAGTAGCCTTATACGTCAATCTCTAGCGCCCGTGTAACGTCTTTATTCGTATACAAAAGTACGACGTACTGCCGCGGCGCAGCGCTGCTGTCACGGGTCCATTGACGACAGGGCACTCCGACCAAGCTTCAGGTTCATCCGTTAGGTGCAATTTGTAACTCGTTTTATTCCTTTTAAAATATTTTTTTTCCGAATTCTCCAACTAACGACAGGTGTTTCCGAGGTCTTTGAATTCAATAGGTCATATTTAGGCAAATAAATAGGCGCTTCAATTTCGTTTTCGCGTCCCTTTAACAACCCATCTGGGAGACTATTTTTTAATGAAGAAGAAGACGGTTACTAAATCCTCAAACTACCCTTTTTGTGGTCACAGACAACTTAATAAATGTAGGGGGTGGCGACTTCAGAAAATCGTATTATCGCTATTCAGGCAATCAGATAGCGACATTAACCAATGAGAATGCCGAAGAACGAATCAACCAGCATGAGACGTAAACACAATTGAACACACACTGAGATTTTTTTTTTTTAATCTGTTAAAATTTAGATTATTTTAAATTTGTAATTACCATAATAATAAACAAAATTAAGACTTTCCGTTTTTCGAGCCCATTTTGTTGTTTTAGATGAATTTCATCTTCCGCTCCCTACGTTAGACGTACCAGTTAATTTTTACGCCGCGGTTTAGTCGTGCCAGAAAGAGGAGTCCTCCCGAACGCCTTCTCATTTCATTCTCATAAGACTGAACTATTTCAGCTCAACCACCCGCACCCCCGAGTGGCCCCGAACCGCCAGTCCCGCCAGAAATACCGCCCACTCGTCCCGGAGAGCCAGACGTTCCGGAAGTGATCCCACCAACACCGCCTCCGCCTGGACCCCCGCTTCCACCAGGACCTCCGCCTCCAGAAGAACCTCCGTCTCCAGAAGAACCTCCAGCGACAACTACAACAACTACCGAAGCTCCAGTTCCCGATTACTGCTAAAAACGAGTCTCACAATAGCCCGGGGCACTTCGATTGCAGGGGTTTTGGTTGCACGGGGTTCTTACGTCCGTGACACTCTTTAAATATTTCTAATAAATACGTTTTTACTGCAAGCTCGAACTCCCTGCATTTTTTTTTATGTTCGAGATGAAATGTTACTGATGTATTTTTAATCATTCACTAACACTAACGAGCCAGTCCAGATACATTATTTCTCCTAATTAACGACAATACTCCATTTCAGCTCAAAAACCACGTAGTAACAAGAGTGCGGCTACACGCCGAGCATTACTAATTTCCCCCTTTATGTTCAGAATAAAAATACATGTAGGTGCATTTTAGATTCCGGTCGATTTGTTTATTTCGACTTTTTTTTTCTAACGCTGATTGGCGCGTTTTCTGTGTCTACGCGCCGAACCGCGAAGGTGACCGTTAAGATTTGTTTTGGAAAGTCTGAAAGTGTATCTCGATTGCGAGCGAGTACATATTTTTCTTTTTGATTTTAACTGCGTTTGTAGTTCCCAATATTGACCGAGTCATGCTCCTGTTCGAGACTCAAGTTCCTTTTCTCTGGATGACCTTGTTTCGGGGCATTTCTTAGAGTATGTCGCGGCCTGTATGAATCAGAGAAATGTACAGTTTACGCATTTTCAAGGCCGGAGTCATGCGAGATTGGATAGGGTATACGTCTCGCTCGACCTTTTACCTCTTTGTAGCGATTACTTTGTTAAGCACGTGTCTTTCAGTGATCATGCGTTAGTCATGTTTACTCTTAGCAATAAGGCAAAATCACCAAAATGAGTCTGGGCACTATGGAAGCTCAACAGTAGTATTCTTAAAGATCAGCATTTTAGAGCAAGTGTGAGCAAACGTTTTAAAGATTTATACACTAACGATCATACACTGTGGGCTGTGCGTTTGTATCTTTTTAAAGAAGAAGTAAAGACGGCTGGCAATCGAGAGAAGCACCGCACTTAACTATCAGAAAAAGACAGAAGAGGATGTTTTACGGCGTTAGTTAAACTGTTTTGTAACACTAGAAAGCGTGAATCCCAGTGAATTCATGCGCGAAATAAAATAATGTAAAAGCAAACTAGAACTGATCGATGTCGAGAAATACAGAGGAGCGATAGTAAGGGCGCGAAGCGACAAGCTGTGGATGGGTGAAGCTCCGACGAAGCGCGCACTAAGCGACGAGATAGGTATGCGCAACGTAACGATATCAGGGAAATCTGTTACGGAACTACGGTGACTCGTGACAAGACGCTTATTGAAAGGGCTTTTGTGGACCATTATCGAAATCTGTTTGGGCGTATCGCGTCAGTAGACGACGGGTTCGAGGAGGAATTTCTGTTTTTGATGCCCCAGCTAGAACAGCAGGTGTGCGATAGCCTAGAGGTGCCTATCACCGTGCGGGAAGTCGAAGCGGCCATCGATGAGCTGACGAGTGGAAATACGCCAGGACCGGACGGCCTTGGTGCTGATTTTATAAATCTTCTAAGAATTAGGTGGCGCCTGTGCTGTATGAGTTACTGACCGAGGCATATGAGAAGCAGATGTTGCCCTTATCTTTTCTTAGGACGCACACTGTGCTTATCCCTAAGTACGATGATTCGGTGAAACTCTAGTCTGTGGGATATTACTGGCCGATTGCTTTAACAAACGTTGATTATAAAATTTACATGAAGATTTTAGCAAAGAGATTACAAAGAGTTATTAAAGTACTCGTAGGACCGCATCAGACGTCCGGCATAAAAGGCCCTACGATTTGCACGAATATACATGTAGCTAAAAGCTTTTTTAGAATGCTGCGACGTCTTTCAAGGCCGAGTTGCAATGTTGGAACTCGACTTTGAGAAAACGTACGATCGTGTTTCGCACCGAATACTTTTTCGTATATTGAAACAAGCCAATGTAGGGTCCATTCTTTTATAAGGTTTTAATATTGGCTTATAAAAATTGCACTACAAGTTTGGTTTTAAATAAGACCGTTACAGAAAACATTGAGATACGTTGTTCAGTTATGCAAGGTTGTCCACTTTCGCCTTTGCTTTTTTCTATTTTTTTTTAGAACCGTTCTGTTTGAGACTTCTTCGGAACGATAACATACGTGGTTTTAAGCTAAACACGAGTGAAGTAAAAGTCCCGTCATATGCGGACGATCTGGCGGTTTTTTGCGCGAATCAAGAAAGTACTCGCGAAATTTTCAATGTTGGCTCTTGCTTTCCCGTGAAAACCGGGAGTGTCATTAATTGGGACAAAACGGTAGGGTTTTGGCACGGTGATTGGGATAGTAAACCAGATGTTTTTATGAATGTTAGGTGGGAAAGTTTACCCACCAAGTATCTAGGTATGCCGTTAGCGCATTATCGTGACACTACTTCATACTGGAATGGAGAGACACGTTAGAACAAAGGCGGAAGGGTGGAGGGAAAATAATTTGTCTTTTCTCGCGTGTTCCACTGTGTGTAACGTTTTTTTTTTTATATCGAAGGTTTGGTTTGTCTTACAGGTGCTCTATTTGTCTTGCGCCAATGTGCAGACATTCCTCAGAGTTTTTGCTGTTTTCATATGGAACTCGAATTGCGAGCGCTGTGCCCACACACATTTTTTTCGTTCAGGGCGAAGTGGCGGACTAGGGCTATCTCATTTATTTACAAGGCAAATTGTTTCTAGATTTATGTTTACTGGCGATCAAAACGACCTTTTTTCTGCACTGTAATTCAAGCTCGCCCCCAAAGTTTTCTGCCTGAATTTGTTGTGTCATCTGGTGTTGTAATAGGCTCAGGTACATGAGAGAAGTTTCATTGTCTTTCCGCATGTTCTAAGTTCGTTTTTCTATGGGATATTTGGCTACAGTTTCAAAGAAAAAGTTGTATAAAGATTTAATCAATATTTTGTTTTCTATACCATTGCATTGATCATTATACTGTGGCGGCAGTCGTTTAGACGTACTAAAAAGAGTGAAAAGAACGCCGGTCAAGCCAAGCGTTAAAACCTTTTTCTTTCAATTGTGGCTTTCTTCCGGTGAAAACTTGGCTGGAGGAAAAAAAGTTTTTTTCGTCCCTTGGACCACAAATTTTTTATTATGTAAAGGAGCCGAAACCGTAGAACACGGGTTTATCGAATGTTGGGACGCTGTGTTCCATTGGGACATCCTTCAGCGTACCCCCAAAACAGATTTACCTGTCAACCGACGCGGTATTCGTTATTTGGCTGTGAAAAATGAAGACAAAATTTCGTATGATATGATAATGCTATTGAGTCTCCACAGTATGTGGAAAACGAGAATGAGTTTACGGCACTCAGACGTAAATGTCCGCACTGTGCGTTAAAAATTTATTGAAAATATTGTGTATGTAAGAGAAGTTTACCGTGCCATCGTCGAACCTCCAGATTGGTTACCACTGTTGGATGATTGGGCCATTTTAAAAAAGATTTTAGCAAACCGCCACGGCCCATGTGTGGCTAAAGTGTTTTAGCCTTTCCTTTTTGTTTTTATTGTGAAAATTTGTCTAACCAGGCAATAACGAAAAAAAAAAAAGAACAATTGGCTTAGTCAGTAGCGTGTCTGGCTTGCAACCGAAGGGTCGTGGGTTGGAATTCAGCCTAAAATGCTATATATTTGTTTTCTTTTGAAGCAAACGAATTACTTTTTAAAGTGAAACTACTTGAGACATGCGTCCACTTTTAATTCGCATTACATGTCAAGTTTTAGCCACTTTCATTCCACGCAAGACGTCACGTTTCATGTGAGTATTGTGGATTGTTTAGAAATTCCAGCGCGAGGTAATGCGGCTGTGACATCATGACCGTATCGACCATCAAGATTTTCCCGCCACGGGAGCTGGCATTTTTGCTGCCCGAGCTCCTTAACGCTGTCGCGTTCGAAATTTCGCGAAATATTTATGCTGTTAGACTCAGTTCAGTTGGAAGTCACGGCCCGCTGTAAGCCCTGCCCACAAATCAGTTGCCCGGCTAAACTCCTATTGATTGGCTTGGCTGCTCGGCCGAACACGCTAACAAGCCTAGTGTCTTTCCTTCCCGAAATCCTGCGCGTCTAGTACGGCGTCTGACAACACCTGCAAGTTGTGCGAGCAGACGCGCGGCAGCCTCCGGCATCGTCTGATATTTCACCACCGTCTATCGTCGTTTGCCATGCCTGAAGTATGGCGCCTGGAGCGCATCTCATTGTCGGAGGTCGCGATCATGGCGGTGGGCAGTAGAAATGCTGGAGAAAGGCACGAGCGAATGCGAGTGTTGCACTTGTTGCGGCGTCCAAACTTCTGGCTGCTGAAGCTACCGTGAACTGTCACACTGAAGAGAGACCTGCAACAAAACGGGCGTCTGCCATATCCATCACAGCTGTTGGGACGCCGCCAGGGTTGCAACCGGCGACAGCAGGACACTTCCATGACATCATCAGGCGGAAATCTAGGGACCACTTTTTTAGGCAAGCACCATACCCGAAGAAAGCGGACATAAACTCTGCCCGTCGGCGTCCGTTTTCGTCTTCGCCCGTCTGCTATTCCGCCCCCGTCTAAAGACGTTTACTTCGCTCGCAAGACTCGACCAAGAAGACGGCGTTCTAGCGTTACATCATCTTAGGCTATCGCGCTACGATTTTGTGCAGCGTTGTCCAAAGGTGGTGCATGTTTTCTATAAATTTTACAAAGAGCAAACTTACCCGAGGAAAAAGTAAAGAAAGAAAAAGTCTTAACTCCTGTGGAAACCCAGCGAAGTCACCGTTCTTCAATCAATAAAGCGCCCTATTGTTTGAGAACCGGTGGCTTCATTGCGTTTCCATAGGAGCGAAGCCTTTTTTTTTCTTTACTTTTTACTAAGGTAAGGTCGATCTTTGCAAAATTTATAGAGAGCATGCACCACCTGTGGGAAACGCTGCAGAAAATGGTAGCGCGATACGTTAAGAAACCGAATTTCGCGGTTGATTGAAAGAGCCTGGCCGCTACTTGACACACCCGGTAGTTAATGTGGGAGGCTAGGCTTAGGCCAGTCCCGCTACGAAAACAAGCATCCATACAGCGCTTCCAAAGGCGCGTACTTG